AAAGCCGAACGATCAGTTTTGGTCTGAACTCGTCAACGCAGCCACGCCAACCGGTGAAATTTTTCACCTTAAAAGTGACGGAATTGGAGCAGAAAAATAATTTGGGGGAAGAATAAATTAATTTATAAATAAAATACATATCTTAATAATAATAAGTAAAATAATAAAATCAATATTCATTTATGAGTTCCACATAAAAAGGAAGAGTTTTTTTGTTGGCGTGCTGCGAGCTCCATGTAAGTAAATCATTTTATACGTATTATCTCTTTATCATATAATCAAATTTATCATTGTATTTAGTATTTCTTTAGAGATTTATTTTTGAGTTCCGAAATAATTTAAATATAAAATTTCCTTGATTTACTTACAAAGAACAGAAGGTCATTTTTTTTATATAGTTAAACTTAAATTCTGTTTTAGTCCATGTCGTTATCATTAAGTTTTTTTGGTTCTTTTTTTTTACCTAATTTTTTTGGTGGAATATAAAAGGTTCTACAAATGTGGTACAGCCTTTTGTATTCTGCGCATGTTCTTTTCATGGCGCAAGCTTGCCATGCCTACGAAAGTAACTTCATAAATTTGACATGATGTTGACTTAACCTAATACCTAATGTTTTGATGTTTTGTTTTGGTGCAGTCAATCCATGCTGCTACACCTATTAAATTACATATTTATTAAATTAAATAATCATTTTAGATTCCGTCACGTGAAAATATTAATTTCACTTTACTTGAGGATATTCTCTTGAGAATATTCCCTCAAGGATACTAGTAACAGAATCCTTAGATACATAGTTAGCAAACCCGTGGATTTTGCTGTCACCCAGAGACCAGTGACTGGTTTTGGCTTTTGTGACCAGGATTCGTCTTTACAGCCACAAACTGATGTAGCCGTGCCAAGAGGAGTTTTTCCTATGGACTTATAGTGCTGTAAAGATAAGTCGTTTAACTATTTGACCTTTTGTATTACGTATTACTTTATATTTACTGTTAACTGATCATATGCATATGATAAGGTGAATACCTTTATGATAATTTTTTTTGATAATTTAATTATAAAATATTCGGGAGGAAAAAGGGACACTTCATGTGTTATTAGGTTTTAACTAGGATTTAGAGAGTCTGACCAAACTCACTTTTTTTTGGATATAATATTTTTGTTAATATAATACAATTTGATATTGAGAGGGACATAAATTTAATGTGGTTTGTTTTTAAATATTATATAATGAGTATGGAACAACTCATTTTTTGGATGTAATATATATATATATATATTTAATATAATTGTAATAGAGATTTATCAAGTTTGATATCTTTACAATATTGTCATTAGTACCTCATTTTAGTAGAACTAATTTAAATTTAAATGACTACCTTTTGTTTTAAGACTTTGGCTACCCTACGGACTATTCTTGTTGTATACTAATATTTCATATTTTATTTGGCCAGTGGTAGTGACTATTCATTTGTTGAGGGGCTATTAGGTCCTATTGTATCTGTACACCATCCACTACCACTGTTATTTGGCTTTGCATTATATGTAAATTGTTTATACACATATACCTATATACATTTGTTTATAAATATATTTATTGTTGCTATTTTGAGTTTTATTTCAGTTCTACTAACCAGTATATAACATAGCAAAACAAGATTAATATTTAGTATTTTTGTATTTCAGAGTATTACCTCCAGATTCATTTGTTACTTCAAAATCTCAACTATCGTTGAGTTGGCGCCCTTCTTTTCTCTTCTTATTGTTTTCTTTCTATAAATTTATTCCCAGTGACCTTCTTTAGTTGTATCACGTTTGATATTACCAGGTCTCATTTCGTTTCTTGTCTCATTAGCTCAGTATCCTTGCTATCTGTTTAAATCTTTAAAGCCACAATCCAGTGCATTGAAGCTAGCCCGAACACTCACTTGAGATTTAGTGTCTCTTTGGCCATTTAAATTTGTTCCTCTGAGCTTAGCCCTATTTTTAGTATTTTTTTCATCACTTCTCTTTCAGTTCTTCTGAACTTTGTCAATACACACATTTTATTAGTTTCAGTGTCCATTCCAATATTGAGAATATTGTCGTAGATGGTCCTGATCTCCATATATGTCCTAGCCATTTTGCCCTTTGCTGTTTTATTTTAGAAACTATATCCTCTTTAATTTCGTTTAGTAGTTCATGATTCGTTCTTTGTCTATATTGGTTTTCATTAATTTTTATTGGTCCTAATATTACTCTTAGTATTTTCCTTTCTAGTATTCTAAGGTCTTCCTTTTTTTTTGTCATGCTGTCCCATGATATTTGTTGTCGCTTTGGCCAGTCTTTGTTGTATTAAGGTTGATATGATTTTATACGCTGTGTTTAATAATGTCAGTCCTCTATAATTATTACACATTTGTTGGTCTCCTTTTTTATGGATTGTGATTATTTGTCCTTTGTGCCATTTATCTGGCATCTTTTCTTCGTCCCATATGACTTTTATTAATTGGTATATTTTTTCTCTGAGTTCATGTCCACCATATTTTATTAGTTCCAGGTTTATACCATATATACCTGGTGTTTTACCGTTGCGACTACTGTTTATAATTTCCTCAACTTCATCTCTCGTTGGTTTTTCTAGCTCGGTTTCTATTATCGTGGTCTCTTCTTCCACATTTTCATTTAAGTCTTCGTCCTCTTGTACTGTTAATAATCCTTTAAAATAATCAGTCCAGATTTCTTTAAACTCTTTGTCATTTTCTGATACTTTTCCATTTCTATCCTTTATGCCTTTTATCTTTCCTCTGAAGGTTTTGTTCTGCTCGCTAATTTTCTTATAAAATGCTTTTGTGTTTCTATTTATAAAACACAAATAGAAAGTTTTCTTTTTCTATTTCATTTATCTTATCATTTAACCAGGTTCGTTTAATTTTTCTTATTTGTTTCTTACATTTTGTTCTTAATTTGTTGTATTCTTCTTTATATTCTTGTCTATTTGTTCTGATCCACCTTTGTCTTATTTCTATCTTCTTTTTTAACATGTTATGACAGTCTTGATTATACCATTCTTCTTTTTTGTTCTTTCTCTCTATCCCTACATGTTCAGAAGCTGTTTCATTTATACATTTTTTTATATTGCTCCATTCTGTTTCAACATCCTCTGTATGTTCACAGTATTCCTTCAGTTTTTTGCTTATATCTTCTGCATATTTAATTCTTCTATCTGTAGCATTTAATTTTTCTATGTACCATTTGTCCTTTGTTGTCTGTTTTTTAGCGTTCTTTTGACTTTTTGTCTTAACGTTGCGGTAACCATGAAATGGTCTGTGTCTGCATGTGCACCTCTGTATGTTCTCACGTCTGTTATCGATGTTTGCTTTCTCTTTGTGATGAGTATATGGTCTATTTGGGACCATGTTTTTTGGTCTGGTGAGACCCATGTTACTTTGTGGTATACAGGGTGTGCAAATTTTGTACTACTGACAATCATATTGGTGCTAGTTGCTAAGTTGCATAATCTTTGACCATTATCATTTGTTTTTTCATGTAATGTATATTTACCTGCAACTTGGTTAATGTCTTCTTTGCCTATCTGAGCGTTAAAATCTCCCATTACCAGATTTGTGTCTTCTTTGGGTAAAGATTCAATTTCTTGTTCCACTTTCTCATAGATGTTATCTTTTTCCTCTGCTACAGCACTTTCAGTTGGTGCATATACGTTTATGATGGATATATCTACCATCTTAATAGCTTTTATTAAGTTATCATTTAAGGTTTCGACATCCATAACGTCTATATTTGTTGTCTCTAGACATCTCGGTATTTCTTTTTTAAGGACATGCTGTTTTCGATTGGATTCCATCCTATCGGGTGTGTTTTTGTTATCATTTTGTATCTTTGTTTTTGCAGATTTAACACGATCTTCGCTCTTACCATTCTATGATCACTTTCCACTGAACAGCTATTAAGAACTGTTACATCATGAATCATGTCTTCGTTGTTGGTTAAGACAAAATCAATTTCATTTTTGGTGACTCCATCTGGACTTGCCCAGGTCCATTTTCTTTGGGGACTTTTTTTTGAAAAAGCTATTCATTGGAAAGACGCTATTTCGTACCAAGAAACCCAAAAACATTTCGCCTCTTTCATTTCTTTGTCTGAATGCGTAGGGACCTATTGCAACTTCGGTCCCGTCCAGTTTAGTAGACGCTAGTTTTACTGCGTTTTCTAGGTCTTCATAAAAGGTTTCCACTTCCTCGTCCGAGTGTGTAGATGTAGGTGCATAGGCTTGAATTATTTTAATTCTGATTTTTTTATTAAGCTTTAGTATGCAGAGTATTATTCTTGAATTGATACCTTTAAGTTGTTGAATATTTTTAGTTTGTCTCTTATGTATAAGAAGTCCAACTCCTCCTATTTTTTCTTTGTTTCCCATATTGAAAAGTTGATGCCCTGATTTAAGAGTTATACAGTCTTCTTCTTCACGCCTAATTAACAGAAACACATAATGTCAGATTTTATGTGTTTTAACTCTTCTTCTAATTCCAGTAATTTTTCTTTAGATGACAGTGTTCTTAAATTGTACGTGGCGATATACATTTGTTGTCGTCCGTGGTAGCCTGATCTGACCCGGGGATTCTTCGCACCCTCTGTCTGCTGTCTTTCTTGATCGCTATCTTGACCAAGGATCAGCTCACTGCCGGGGACTGAGGGTCGTGTTTTTGTCGTGTCAAGAATGCTTGGATTTTAGCCATACTCTACCTTGCTGGCCAGTGCGAGTTGGTAGAGGGTAGGATGAAGGTGGGAGTTTTAAAAGGGGAGAGATAGGAAAAAGATAGGAGGACCTGGTCCCCTCAGGCAAGAAAGGAGGGAGAACCAGAAGCTAGCATAAGGCAGGGTCACTAATCCCTGTAGCAGCCTATCTTCTACTGGGATTGTAGAAGAGTGCTACCTGCCACCTATATTCCAGGTACATATCCATAATTTAAAATTTTAGAAATACTATTTTTAATATACTAACCGTTTCTATCATTTCTATGTTGACGTGTATATTCTCTGTTATATCCGTATACAGTTTCTGCTTGAGTCGATTGAGTATTGCTGTTTACCATACCATCGCGACTATTACCATCGTATCCGTAATTGCAATCTGTTCCGTAACCACCACTACCTCCATTATAATTGAAGCCATTAGTGTCATGTCTGTTGTTAAATCCATAACCATTGTTTTGTCCATCAGGATTATATCTGTTGTTCATGTTGTTTAATTTACTATAGGAGTAGCCGTTATTTCTATTTCTGTTGTTGTCATTGTAATTGTGGCTGTAACTATTGGAGCTATTACAAAATACGTTAAAATATATAAAGTAAGCCTTTATATATGCAGTAAAGCATACCTAATATACTTTAACAAATAATTATTGGAGCGAACTAAAAAGCAAATCCAAACTATTTTTGTGGGTTATATGCAGTAAAGCATACCTAATATACTTTAACAAATAATTATTGGAGCGAACTAAAAAGCAAATCCAAACTATTTTTGTGGGTTATGTGTGTTATCACAACAGCAGTAAATTTAGTTACATGATTTTATGTGTAGTGACTTAGTGGGTATGTCCTATGTTTTAATATTATTTTAATTGTGACGTCTATGTATACTTGTTAGCATCGAATTTTTACATGCTTGTCAATATTTCTTTTTAAAAACGACATGGATTTCCTGCCAAAACGTCGAAAAAATATATGAAAATGTCTTAGTATCAAAACAACCTTTTTTTATGAACCTAAGCCCAAGAAAATCCACTAAGGTAGGTGTAGGTAATATGGCCATGTACAGTAATATGGCCATCCAACAAATTTCTTACTATTTTTATGTTTAAACGGTAGAACTCTTGATATTAGCATAGTAATACACATTTAGTGCCGAAATTGTAAAACAGATGGTGCCACATTCTCTATACGTCAGAACCATACACCTTTGTTGTGAAAACTCGTCATTGTAGAAGCTGGTTATTAATTTCGTAATTTTTAAAAAAATCTTTACTGAATCTAATAGGTAAGTTTTTAATATATTAATTGTACTTACATGTTTCGTATACCTTCAAAATCATGTACATGTTCTTATTTTATTGTATGAATTTTGATTTGATATATTTTTTCTTAGAGAAAATATCAATATCAAATATCAAAACAGTGTTGAGTAATATGGCCAGGTGAAAAGTAGGGTTATATGACCATGGCCATATTTATCTTACGTGGCCATATTACTTTACAATGCATATTTTGTTTGCTGTATTGATATTATTTCTTTTATTACAGAAATAAAAAATGCCCCAGTATCAGCGCAGGGGCCTACGAGGCAACTGGAAGGAAGAAAATTTGTCAGCAGCTTTAAGAGCGGTGGAAAATGGGACCGCAGTGAACACAGCTAGTCGTACATATCACATCCCAAGGCGGACACTTCGACGATATTTAGAAGAGGGAAAACAAGTAAAGTCTTGTCCAGGGCGAAAGACTATACTTACAAATGCCCAAGAAGGAGAATTAGTTCAACGTATTATCCGTCTTTCGCAAATTGGATATACATTTACTGCAAGGGTACTTTGTAAGTGTGTATATATCGGTTTACAGAACTCAATAATATCCCAATCCTTTTCAAGAAAGCAAAGGTTTTATGAAGCGCAATCCTCAAATCAGACCTAGGAAAGCACAAAACTTAAATCCGGCTAGGGCACAAAAGCTTAATAAATCTATTGTAAAAGATCATTTTACTAAGCTGGAAGGTATTTGGAGAAATAGACATACATCAAGAAATGGACATACTTGATAAGCCCGAACGGATATATAATGTAGACGAGAAAGGTTGCAAGTTAACACTTCACCACCAGCAGAAAGTTTTGGCGCAAAAAGGGGCTAGAAGAGTACATGTATGACTGCAAAAGGTAGCATGAATATTGAAACGTTTTCAGTTTGGCTTCAACACTTTTCAAAATATAAGGTTGCTGGTCCATGTATTATCATATTTGATGGTGCAAGATGCCATTTGAATCACACTATTGTAGAAACTGCCGAAAGATACGAAATTACTCTATACTTTTTACCTAGTAATACTACTCACGAGCTCCAACCAATGAACAAAGCTGTATTTAGAGCCTTTGAATATTACTGGGATGATGAAGTTATGAAATATTATTCTATTCATAGCGATCGTGTTATTACCAAACATAGATTTGGGGCAATTTTTTCTACAGTTTGGGATAAAACAATGGCACCATTTAATATAAAATCGGGGTTTTCTTCAACGGGAATTTATCCATTCAACCTAGAAACTATCCCAGAGATAGCGTTTGCCCCTAGTACTATCACATACCAACATCAGGAAGATAAAGAGAATGTCACATTATCAGAAACTAACGCTTGTAATAAAGCAGATGATTTATCCATGCCATCAACTTCAGGCATTCAACAAAAATATTACCGTTGTCATTCTACTTTGGGATTACAACCGAAAAATAGCTCAAAAGAAGTATGGCTGGTCACTGATAGTAGTAACTCTTGTCGTCCCTCTTCGGATTTTCAACTGAAAAATCGCCCAGAAAAACCATTTCTAGACGCTGATAGTAGCAACTCTGACTTATCCTTTAGTTTGCATGATTCTAGCAGTGATGAATTTATTGATTCAGAAGACGATCACAGTGATTTCTCAAACATCCAAAATACTTCATTCACAATTATGCTCGAAACACCTGAAAATGCAGCAATAAAGAACGATAACAAAAAGCTTAGAAAACCAGCTATCAACAGTCGAGCCCAAGTTGTTACTAAAGATTTATTCGGTAGATGTATTCGAAAAAGTGATTCAGAAAATATTGAAGCCAATACGCATACTACAGATGGTAAAAGAGTCTCGTCAATGCTACGAAAATTACCCAATCCAAAAAACAAATTTAATACCTTGCCTGCTAAGAAAAAGGAAAAAAAAACAAGAATCTTGGTTCTGCAAATTATGCAAGGAAGACAGGATGGTAGATATGAGACTGTGTAGCGTATGTAGCATTTATATCCACGGAAAGTGCATGGGTCTCGCAGCTAAAGACAAAATTGATACGTTCTTATGCCCTGATTGTGAAAAATAAGACAATATTAAGTTTCTGTACTGTATTTGCTTAACATGTAATAAAACTGTTAAAAAATCTTAAACTATTTAATTATACCGTTTTTAAATAAAACGAGCGGTTCGAATTTATATAAATATATTTATTTATAACTTTACAGTTCGGTATTCTCTTATCAACTAAACTTAACTCCTAATTTCGTTACATATATATACCAAAGTTACTATGTTCTAGAAAGTTCCCACCTCTAATTCTAATTCAGTCAAATACGTCACGGATTGTTCTCTTGCGGTCGAGGGATCTATCGATGGTTCTCGATGCTTCGAGATACAACCGTTAGGCGGGCCACGCTGAATGCATGTTCGTAACACTGCTCCCCTCTTAGATCTGAGCGTCCCGATCAGAAACTCTATATGTAGGACACCTTCTCTTCGGATTAGTGCAACACACAGTAATTCTTACGCCGGTTTCGCGGAAGATCACTTCAAGCATGCTTCTGACAATCTTCTAATCCAGATTATCTAGTGCATGGCCTATCTTGGGTAAGGCCAAATTCTTAATGTCGTAATTGCAGACGATTTTCTTCAAATTAGTTAGAATACACCATATATCCTCGTAGGTTGCCCTGTCTGTATACGACTTCCTGGTCACCATATACAGCAAAGATCGAGAACCATCTTCTAATCTCAGTACTCTTCCAACTTTAGGCTGCTGGTTTTTTAACTCGTCCAAGCGACCGAATTTCTTATAAAATACGGATGAGATCCCTTTAGTCATCTCAAGATCTTGGGCAACACAGTGGGCTAGAGTGACGTTGTGCGGAACACTAAAAAGATCCTGCTGAACTTCTGTCGTCACGCCGAATCTAGCACTCCTCTCTGCGTAATTTGACATAAACTCATTAAAGCTTGGTCGCCGATCATCTTTGATCTCATGTTGAAGTGTTCGGACTTCTTCGGTTTCATTTGAGCTAGCATAAGGTGCAAGACGATCTATGTGCACTACTTTTAGTTTACCTTTCGGCAACTTCTTAATTCGATATATTACGTCATTTATTCTCTTTTTAATTTCATACGGACCCTCCCATTGTCTTTGCAGTTTAGGAGACAAGCCACGACGACGTTCATGAACGTTGTTCATTCTTAACTTTAGGCGGTCGACATAATCTTCGCTTGCAACAAGTTCTTCGGAAGGTCAGCAGCGAAAATCTAGGTCGCAGGGCAAACGAACTTCACGACCTAAGATGAGGCAGGTTGGAGTCTGGCCTGTAGTTTCATTCACGGCCGAGCGGTAGGCCATTAGGAATAAATAAATGTGCTGGTCCCAATCTCTTTGATGTTCTGATACAACTTTGGACAGGTGTTTACCCATCGTTCGGTTCATTCTCTCGACCATTCCATCTGATTGAGGATGCAGGGGTGTCGTTCTAGTCTTATTGACACCAATCAATTTACAAACGTTTTGGAAAATGGTTGACTCGAAGTTTCGCCCTTGGTCGGAATGGATCTCTAAAGGAACACCAAATCGGCTGAAGAATTCTTTAACAAGTACCTCTGCAATGGTAGCAGCTTCTTGATTTGGTATCGCTTAGGTCCATTTCGTAAAATAATCCATAGCTACCAGGATATATTTATTTCCATCATTCGTCTCTGGAAGTGGACCGGCAATGTCGATTGCTACTCTTTCCATAGGACTACCAACATTAAACTGTTTCATGGGTGCTCTCTTTTTACCAACTGGACCATTACTGGTTGCACAAAGTTCACATTTCCGGCACCATCTTCTTACATCATCTTTACAGTTCACCCAATAGAACCGTTCTCGAACCTTTTGCAGAGTCTTCGTAATACCAAAGTGTCCACCTGATGCACCGTCATGCAACTGACGCAATACTTCTGACACTTTACTTTTAGGTACAATCAACTGAAGCTTAGTTTCTGTACCATCATCGTTCTCAAAGGTTCTATACAGAAGATCATCTTTCAGCACTAGGCAATTGCATTGGCTCCAGTAACACTTGACTTCGGGACTACATGCACTAATGTCTTGCCAAGAAGGTCTTTCACTTCGACGCATCCAATCCAATACTCTTTTTATACAAGAATCATCTGCTTGAGCGTCTTGTAGCTGTTGTGGCTGCCATTGATTATTAATGACGGTGGTTCGTCTCACGGGGCAAAGTCTTTCTTCTAATTTAAGACAGTGATTACAATGTTCACTGCACGGCCGTCTCGAAAGCGCATCAGCATTTAAATGAACTCTTCCAGCCCTGTGTTCGATCTCGTAATCATATTCTTGTAATCGTTCTAACCATCTTGCCATCTGTCCCTCTGGATTACGGAATTGTAGGAGCCATTTTAGAGCAGCGTGATCCGTGAGAAGAAGAAACTTTCTACCATACAAGTATTTATGGAAATGCTCGCAAGCCTTTACTACGCCTAGCAATTCTCTCCTGGTAACGCAATAGTTTCTTTCTGGCTTCGACAAGACTTTGCTAAAGTAAGCGATGACTTTCTCCTGCCCATCTTGGATTTGGGAGAGAACAGCTCCTATTGCAATTGCTTGCATCGGTATCCAACACAAATTTTCCTGCCTGTCTAGGGTAGCTTAAAATCGGTGCGCTGATCAGAGCCATTTGTAAGTGTTCGAAAGCTCTTTGACATTCTTCGCTCCATGTATATTCTTTGCCTTCTTCTGTCAACTTTGTTAATGGCTTTTAGGTGTTGGCAAGACCTTTGACAAAACGTCGGTAATATGTACATAGGCCAAGAAAACTTCTAATTTCGTGTTTATCTCTTGGTACTGGCCAATCCTTAATTGCTGCAAGTTTTTCAGGATCAGCTGTTACACCATTATTTGCTACAATTTGCCAACAAGTGACACTTCTTCGAACTCAACTTCAAATTTGCTGCCTGCAATCGTTGAAAGACTTCTGTCAAATTATTGGTATGTTCATCGAAGGATCTTCCTACTACAATTACATCATCCAAATAAACCAGGCATGTTTTCCATGTTAGATCTCTTAAAACTGCCTCCATTAATCTTTAAAATGTGGCCGGGGCATTACATAAACCAAAGGGCATAACTGTAAACTGCCAAAGCCCTGATCCTATCGAGAATGCTGTTTTCTCACGATCAGCTGGGTCCATGTCTACTTGCCAATATCCACTTTTCCGAATCGAGTGTGGAAAACCAACGAGAACCAGAAAGTGTATCCAAAGTATCGTCTATTATCGGCAAAGGAAAACTATCTTTTTTAGTTACCGCATTGAGCTGTCGGTAGTCAATACAAAAACGTGTTGAACCATCTTTCTTCTTTACTAGCACTACTGGTGATGTCCATGGACTGTTCGATGGTTCAATTATCCCTTGTTTGTTCATATCTTTGATGATATATTCGGCTTCATCTCTTTTTGCAAATGAAAGTCGTCTAGGTTGTTGTCTGATTGGCTGAGCGTCTCCGGTATTAATTTTATGCTTGTTTTGCCATTATCCTTCTTATCAATGGCGAAAACATCTTGAAATTATATCAGCATAGACTTCACTTTTTTAGTTCGTTCATCATCAAGATCTTGGCACGTTTTAATCATCGTCTCAACAAGCTCCTTTGGATACTTAGATTTCGACAGTTTCTCATTAGTATTCATGGAACAAATCGAAGCCACGGGAACACACTGTCCGATTAAAGTTCTTTTACTTAGCTTAATATCAGTTCACTTTAAATTCATAACCCTCACAGGAACGACATCTCGAATTCTCACCAAAGCTTTTGCCGTTAGGAACTCGGCATTGTTCACATCTTCGACCATCCTTAAACTTCCCTCTCGGCAGTAACCATCAGGTCTGGTCATCAAAATTTTCTCACTATTACCAGGTATTGTTACATTCAAATACGTCACGGATTGTTCTCTTGCGGTCGAGGGATCTATCGATGGTTCTCGATGCTTCGAGATACAACCGTTAGGCGGGCCACGCTGAATGCATGTTCGTAACATTATTCTATTCTGTGTTAAGCTTTATAATTAGATATAAAAATTTACTTTCTGTAAAGTGGCCATATTAGCGACACCATGTTGGGAATATGGCCAATAGCAGTATTTTTTTAATTAAGTCATAAATATCATATTTTTATCAATTTTTGAAAAGTTATACAATAAATATATATTTAGATAACCCATGTAACTGTAATAACAGATACTTTAAAAAAAAAATATATTTGGCCACAAATACGGACAAAAGTTCTTAAGGTGGCCATATTACCTGCACATACCATATTGTCATTTTCTGGAGGGATAATGACATTATCCCTCCAGATACTGACAAAGAATGTAGCGTAGAATCTTTAAAGTAATTTTAAATTGTTTGTCCTCGTTTTAGTGTAGTGTTTTCTACAATTTTATGTTATTATTAATGTTTCCACATTCTACGCTTGCCGGATAGTTTATATTTTGACGAAATGCCCCTGAAGATGCTATTTTAAGCGAAAGTACTTGGGCTAGATTTAATTAGCCTGTGCTCGATAATAGCCTTATTTTTCAAAGTTCATTTATTCGAGCATTCAACCTCATTTCCATTACCTATATAATACACTGGGAGTTTCATGTTTATGATCCATGTTTATGTTCTTAAAAGCTCTCGGTTTAATGCTGTACCAATGAGAAAAATGGGTATCCTGTGGGTCCCCAAGGCATTTGAATACAAGGCGACCGTTATCCTTTCTTTGCTGACTTTAAACCCTGCAACAGATTCTTGTAGGCTAGCAAAGGTTTTTCTGGGGAGAAGTTTAAAATTTAACCCCGTTTCGTAGATGTTGTATATTTTCTCTGAGCTCAAGTCTTGGTCACCAGTTTTTAAAATTTTGTAGAAAAATTGGTGGTCGTTGTTGGGTCCACAAACTCCAGAAAAGTGGACTCCGTGTCTCTTTTCCCATCGGCAGACTCATCTCTCACCAGCCGAGAACGCCTCTTCTGGTTGAAGCTTTGAGGGCAAGACAATAGCCTTTTCTTCTAGGATTGCGGATCTAGGACTACATGGCGTTCCTCGTCTTCGTTCTTAAACGAACTACAACCACATTTTCCACCAATTGGTGGTTTGCTTTTCTCAGTGTGCAACGCTTTTGTAGAACTTTTCCGTTTCAAGTTATGTACAAAAGCCTTCGATAGTTTTTCTATTGCGCCGCCAGTTGTTGACTGTACTTTAGCCCACGTTTAAATCCCTGCAAATACTTTGAACGAATTCTCCTTTGTCCAATCTTTCCAGAGCTTATAGTATCTTTATACCAATCCCTTGTGCTTACATGTACGCGTTTTATTCATTTTAAAAACAATTTAATGCACGACGCAATACACTTGTCAAAGAATACAATACTGTAAAGAACTTGAGGCTTGCTGCCTGCTCGCGTTTGGCTGGCATTAGCCAAGTAAAATTAGCCAGTAAAATGTATACAATAGTATATTTATTAATTAAACCAAAACTTACCTTGAATAGGGATTATTACTATTACCATAATTGCTGTAAGGGTTATTATTCCTTTCAGAATCGTGATTATTTCTATTAGACGAAGTGTACGGGTTTTCATCATTATCATTATAACTACTAGAAAGTCCATACCTATCATTTCTGTTATTATTATTACGGTTATTAGAATTTTGTCTATTGTTTCTGGAATTATGACTATAACTATTTTCCCCATAATCATCGTTACCATATCCAACGTTTTTGTAATAGTCTCCGTTATTGTTAATTCTTCGATATGTATCAGTGGCATCACCATTTCCAGAATACCTAGAAGAATGTCAATATAATTGCAGGAAGGTTGCTACTTACATTTTTAAGTGATGGTTTCGTATTTAATGTTTACAAAATAGCAAAGGTAAAATGCAAATATGAAATAAAATATCAAAAGAATTAGAATTGAGGTGTGATTAAAACAAAAGGACCTAAAACTAAAGACCATATTATGGATTTTGATAACATTAAAAATTTGGGGAGTGAAAGTAATAAATTCAAAAGGACTTTTTTGGAAATGGTTTGTATTAGCAAAAGTGAACAAAAGATCAGAAATTCAAAATCTAAGCAAAATTTATATATAATATCATTTCTTTGTAGTGTATATATTATAAAACCAGTAAAATATCACATTTTGATTTAATTTTCCATATATTTGTTACATTTTTTCAGGCATCTATCAATGGTGAATAAATTTTCTTCTTTTTTGTTACTAAACAAAAAAGAATTTTTAGACAAAATTTTATTTTTGGCAATCTAATTGTCAAAAATAAAAATTTTAAGTTCGCGTTTATGACATTGAGGCTTAATTGTAATTGGTCTCAATTCTAACTTATTTATAAATTCAATTGTTGTTGTGTTAAGAAACTTTTTCAAAATTATATTAAAATTTCAGAGAAACACTTAGTAGATAAGAACATTTTATAATATTTTTTTGAAATATGTTAGCAGCAATTTTATTAACCAAACTAATTTTATTTGATGAGTTAACAAAAAAATTTTTCTCTATAGTTCAATTTTGTAAGATATTTTGTATTTTTTAGCAGCTCGTGATAATAATTGTAAACACAATTGAAAGCTCAAAATAAAAGAAAGCCCAGTTAGAAAAGGAGCATATTAACTTGGGGAAGGATCACTACAGGAGCAATGCAACTTGGCTGCACTGTACTGAAGACGACCAATAGTCAGAAATACATATATACGGTTGCCTTCCATCGATATACCATTTTTGGTTTTCTGTTTTGCGAGACATATTATATATATACATATATATATATATATATATATATATATATATATATATATATATATACAGGGTGGTCCTTAAGTAATTGTACAAAAAGAAACCGCAGATTCTACACTTTAAAAATATTACGATTTAAGCCAAATTGCTTTAATAAAATGTTGATATTAAGAAAGATACAAGATGTTAAAGTGGAAATAGAAAATTTTATTTATCGCTATAACTTTCATGTTTCTAAACATTTATGTATAAAAATTTACAACTGGGTACTATTGAATATAAGGAATTATAATTTGCTCTGCTCCATTCAAATTACAAGGTAATTTTTGATATCCCTAAAAATTTAAAAAATCCTTACCAATGGTTCCACAGTATAGGTACGTTTATTTATAATTCATATTTAAAATGAATGTCGTATGGTTTGGAACCATCGGTAATGATTGTTACGGATATGCGAATTACCTTGTAATTTGAATGATGAGATTTATTTACATTTTTTATAAAATAATTTTATTGATTTATTTAAAGAATTGTCATCAAACTTAAGGAGAAATGTGTGGTTTATACAAGATGGAACACCATTACATTACAGAGAAAGGGGAGTGAGAACAGCATTTAAATACAACTTTCCTGTACGTTGGATTGTTCGTAGTAGTCATATTCCTTGGTCATGTGGTGAGATGTTAATATAATTACTTAATTCATAAACATAAAAAAATTACTTATTAGTATACTTCTTATAATAATACTTGATTACGATTTTAATAATTTAATACAAAACGTAAATGTTTGATGTAAAATCCAATTATTTTGTTATTTTGTCAAATCCCATTATTAATTATACTGATATATTTATTTTATTTAATAATGTGTTAATTATAAACTTTATTAAAGGTATTTTATATCAAAATTCAGAAGTATTGATGTTTTTCTTTAATTTTCTTTCGTTGTCTGTAGTTATTGCGTTAACTCAGAATTATGTAGAATGAGATTATCTCGAACACTGTTGAGTTTTAAAGATATTATCAAGATAGTACCAAGTAGTATCAAGAGAGAAACACAGAAAATCCAGAAAATATAGAAAAAGAAGAACTGGAGGAAGCAATAAGAAAGATAAAGATTGGAAAATCACCAGGAAGCGATGAAGTAGTACCAGAAATGATCAAATATATAGGAGTAAAAGCAAAAGAAAAATTGTTATACATTAATAACCTAATATGAAAGAGAAAAGTAATACCTAGAGAATGGACAAATGCAGTAATTATACCTATATACAAGAAAGAAAACACAAGAGACTATAAGAACTATAGAGGTATAGAAAAATAGAGAAATATATCTGAGCTTTATAGACATGAAAAAAGCATTCGACTCAGTTAAAAGAAAATATATATGGGAAAGCCTAAAGAAAAAGCAAGTAAGTGAACTGATAGAAGCAACAAAGAGTATATACATGAAAACAACAAATACAGTAAGAATGTTAAACATACAGTCAGAACCATTTAAAACAACTCAAGAAGTTAGACAAGGGGTAAGTCTCAGCCCAGTGCTATTAATAAATGCAATAGATGAGATAGTGAAAGAATGTAAGAAAACATTTAAGAAATACTGCATCGGTTGGATCATAATGCAAATGATAAACACTCTATCTCTTTAACTTTTGTTCTTTGTCTCTTACAATTTTCATATTTTTGTTGTGTTCTGTCTTGTATGTATTCTTTCCATAATTCTTTCTTTTCTTTTATTTCTCTTTTCGCTTCATCTTTCCACCAAGATGTTCGTTTTCCTCTGTTGTTATTTCTTGTAGTACCACATATTGATTTAGCTATTTTATCATCGTATTTTTAAATTTTCCCAATTCTTCTTCTATTGTTTCTGTTATTTCATGTTCATTGTCCATCTCTTTCTCTAGCCATTCTGAGTATCTTATTTTTGTTGTTTCTTCCCTTAGTTTATAATTTTTTATTATTTCTTTGTGTTTTCTGTTTATGTTCTTATTTCTTTTTATTTTTTTTTCTTTTGCTTTTGAATGTGGTTTCTAGTAGATAGTAGTCACTACCAATTTCATAACTCCTTTTTACCCTTACATCTCTTATCCAGTTCTTCTCTGTTTTTTGCACTATAGTATAAACTATAATAATTGATTGTTCTTCTCTTGATTTGACTTCTCTTGTGTATCCTTTTATGTTGGAAGTGTGTGTTCATAATCACCAGGTTATTGTCTAGTCAGAATTCGAGTAGTAATTTTTTATTTATTTTTTTTTTTCTCCCCATAACATTCCATTTTTCTGCTTCTTTTCCCACTCTACTGTTCATGTCTCATCCTATTACAATTTTCTCTTTACAATAATTTATCACTTCTTGTAATTTGTCCCAGAACTCATTCTTTTCGTTTTTTGTTGCGTCTTCATCTGGTCCATAACATATGATTAGGTTTGTATTGGTTTCCCCTGTATCCACATATATGTCTACTCTTAGTATATGTTCGTTGTAATATATCCAATGTGAATTTCAAATCTTGCAACAATAATACGCCGCGATATATTCTGTTGTTAACCAGTCTATTTTCCATTAAGTGGATTAAATGGCAGGCGGGTATTAGGTAGGAACTTCTTTGGAGTCCGTTGGATTTTATTGGATAGTCTTATCAGGGAAAGTAAGTCAATCCCTGTCCTCTGCAGATTCCAGGAGCTACCCTCTCACCTAAATTATTTATAATGGTCCTCGAATACGCCATTAAAATGTTAAAGTGTTTTTCCGATGATATAGTACTTATTACCGAAGATCTGCGTGAAGCACAACAACTGCTATAAGAAGTTTAATTTATGACAAATTTGGTTCCCAGCGAACACCTAACCAATCAAAATTAAGTGGTAGAATTGACAGAAAATTACATATATTTAGGTCATAATATTAGAATAATCAAGGATACTCAGACCTGTGAATTGCAACGACGAATTACTTGGGCGACATATGGTTCACTAAGAGACATTTTTAAGAGCAACATCCCGATAGCTATGAAACGGAAGACATTTGACCAATGCGTTTTTTCTATTATGACATACGGAGCAGAAACTCTCACTCTCACAAAAACAAAAGCACTAAAAATGCGAGTGGCACAAAGGCGCCACTCGGTTCTCAGCGTGACAAAAAACGACAAAATAAGGAATCAAGACCTAAGAAAAAGAACAGGTATCACTGATGTCGTCGAACGTATAACCAAGCTGAAATGGAATTGAGCAGGTCACATAGCGAGACTAAAAGACTCAAGATAGACCAGAAAACTAATTGACTGGCGCCCAAGAGAAGACAAACGCAGCAGAGGACGACCACCAACACGCTGGATAGACAACATTAAACAAATATCCAAGAAATGTCAACATGACGTACAGAACCGTGAAGAGTGGCGAAAAATGGAAGAGACCTATGTCGAGTAGTTTCATGATTATGATGATGATGGATTAAAGTAGCATAATCTGTTTCAACCGCAAATTTAAAACCTAATAAATAAAATCTTAATTTGTTGACACAGAAAAGCATACTTGCAAATTATAATTCAGTAATGCTGTATTTCTTTTTGGGTTTTTGTTACTCTGGAGACAAAAGAGACCGGTACATCTTTGCCTTTCTGTACTTGTCATAAACTCCCGCAAATGTGTGGGCCGAAGCATCTCTTCTTAATATAAACGGCATCGTATAGATGGGTTGGTATACTTTGACTCCACTTGCCAATTCCTCTTTTATAAAAGCTGTTCTTCACCCCATTTCCACTTTCTCTTTTTCTTCAAGAGGTTGATCAATACTAATTACTTTTGACTGATATCAGGAATAAGTTTCTTAAAATAATTTATCATTCCAATGAAGCCCCTTAACATTTAAAAATTTTTTGGTCGGGGATAATCCTGAATGACCTTTACCCTTCCGCCAAACTTATTCCATTTCGATCCAGTCGAAATTCTAGATCGATCAGTTCTCGTTGAAAAAATTTACACTTTTCAAGTGTAATATTAATTCGGCCATATCCAACGCTTTTAGT